ATTGGGATGAAGAGAACCTGGTAAATTTAGATATACCTGTTTTGTTATGAAAAACCATTTAGGTATTTAAAACACTAATAAAAAAATTTACACTTTTTACAGATGTAGTTTCCGAAACGATTGTATAAAATATATTGTGTGGTTTTCGCAATGACAATTTTTTTATATTTAAATAAATCGCTATTTTTAGTTAGTTACTCTACATTCTTAAAATTATCAGAATCAGTTAATTATAGGACTAATATTTTCTATTTTCCTGTTCATAGGTTGAAAATAATTTACACGGAAATGAATTCGAAAAAGGATATAATAAGGTGAAATTGCCCTATGAAAAAGAAAACACTCGTAACCGACAGCACACAAGCCACAAAAAAAACATATTATTAGAAGGTGAATACAATAGTGAAGAAACTACTGATGACCTCAAGATATCTGAAAAAATTATACAAGTAGAAAGAATATCTAAAGTTAATAGTCGGCGAAATGATAATAAAAGGAAAAATATATTAAAAGATAATAAAATTAAAAGTGAAGAAAGTGGTAATGACTCCGAAATTTCACAAGAGATGGAAAATTTGTCTTACTTCGAAGAAAATAGTCATGTCCTGCCCAAAAATACACTTGAATTCAATAGCAATCAGGTAATATTACTAAATAATACTACTAATATTTTCAGCGCAAATTATATAAATTATTCTATGTTGCCTTTCGAATTCGTATACCATTTATCTAAATCTCTTAGCGGTAGGTAATTTTAGGCACGGTTTGTTGCTAAATGAAAAGGAGTGTTAAATATATGGGTTTATGCATGTCTTGCGATTGCAATTTTCGATGTCAATATCGTGCAATAATTATTGGACGCGGTAATGTGCAATTCCCTATTGTGGTGTCTACTCGGATTGGGTGCTCTGCCCATTTCCTTCGCATATAGTTTATCAGTTGAGATTCTCGAATAAACAGCTCTTGGTCAGATAAAATCTGGGACAATTATGGTAACGTAGAACCAGCTTAAGGGGGAATTTATAATTAATAATAATATGTTTCGGAAAGGTCGGTTCGTTGAGATAATTGAAGTTAGATATTTTAAAATGTACAAGATAATTTATTTGTAGATCAATCGGAATTAAAAGCTTTTAGTAATTTTCACTACAAAAAAACAAAAAAAAAAAACAAATTATTTAACATTTTTAGTAAGTACACAAAAAGATCTATATCAAATTCTCATTGCATTCTAATTGGCAGCTGACTGGCAATTCTCACAAATCAGATGACTCTGATGTCGAACAAGAGTTAGAAGAAACTCAAGTCTCAGATTCTGAGCATAGTGAAGATAAAAGAAACGAGAGTTTATATGAAGCACAAGTAAGTTTATTTCGATTATTAGTATTTATATTTCTGTTTATACTTATAGTACAGGATAATAACTTTACTAATAGTGAAGGAATTACGAAATGTATACATTACGCTATTTATTGTATATTTCAGAAAAAATATTTGTCTATTTTCTGTGATGTATGTGTTATAATATTTGTGTAACATATTCAAACCTACGAAATTCATATAAAATTCTTCAAATAATATTTATAAAAGTTTATTTTTTGTCGGGTTAAATGTTTTTGCTTGAAAATTTTAAATATTTTAACAACCCATGAGGCACAAAAAGTGATCAATAAATTTTTAATAGATTTGAAATCATTTTTATACTCTCGCAACTTGTTTCTATGAGTATAACAGTTTTGTTCTTTAGTTTAGTATTTGTATCACATAAAACTAATTGAGATAGATATTGTATTAAGTATATACCTTGATCTCCTTTTTTTCATATAAATCTCACTATTATCGCCAATTTAAAAAATAATCCGTGCAAAAAAAGAAAAACGTAAAAAAATCTCATCTATTCGTATTATGAGAAATTTCATGTACATATATGTATAGTATATGTACTACTGTTAAAAGGAACAAACAAAAAATATTCTGGGAATGTTAAAATCAAAATAACAAGTTTCAAATTTACAAAATGATCTAGTTCCGTCGCCAGTTTCAAACTCATATTACGATGACATGTTGTAAAATGAGTATGTATTTACGTATGAAATTTAGTGTTTATTTCAAAAAATTTACATAATTAAAATGAAAAACAGGTGCAAAAAACGTAAATCCGTGTAAAAAAAAGGTAAATAGAAGGTGTAAAGGAGATCAAGTGTATTATTGTATATACATATATGTAAATGATCATGATGACGAGGTGAGTTGAAATCCAGGTGACTGTCCGTTCGTGCAAGCAATTTTCTGTTAAAATTTCGATATCTTCACGAATAATAATAACTTCAGGATCGAACCATTGACACGCACACAAAACGACATTAATCGTAAACGCCATTTAAAAGCTCCACTTTTGTCAATATTTCACAAGTTAACGAAATGCTTATGACTATAAAATGTGAATACTATGTGAGATATACTTACATACATATACACATATGTGTGTTTGTACGATATATGTAGGATAAGTTTATACATTAAGGATTATGATATATAATATTTCAAAAATAATATTGGGTGGTATATATGGTAACTGTTACAAATGGTTTTTTTCAGACGAAAACAATACTGAAGCCCACGAAAGTAACAATACCAAATATCATTTTAAATGATACACAATGCCAAGTTCTGGCGGATATATACAAGACACACACTTGTCTATGGGATGAAAATGATATCGCATATCGGTTTGGCAATAGACATAAAGAAGCATTAAATTCCATACTAGAACAATGCAATGAAATGTGTGGCTTAAGTTTGACTAATAATGAATTGCAAAGTGAAATTGTAAGACTGCGAAAAATAACTTCGATAGAAAAGAGACAAAAAATTCTTTGTAAAAGAAAGAACACTAAATTCAAACCTCATTGCTCATATTATCGGCACATAGAATATCTCGAAGTGGATGTGTCACCTTTCGAATGCACAATATGTGAAACATTGTTTCCTGGTTTGGGTAAACTGAAAGTGCATGTAGCATCTCATGATGGTACGCTGCCATTTATATGCTCGCTGTGTGGACATGGCTTTCAGCTGGCCAGTAATCTAACCATACATTTACGAAGGCATGTACAAGACTACACGTATACTTGTGATATATGCAGTAAATCTTTCGCTACATCCACAGATTTAAAAATACATGTCCGGTTCCACACAGGTGAAAAGCCCTACGTTTGCTCTATCTGTGGCCAAAGACGTTCAACTGCATCACACCTATTTATACACACTTTGCGGCACCAGAATCGACGACGTCACCAATGTAAGATCTGTTCAAAGACTTTTATCGAAAAGGGAACTTTAAAAGATCACATGCTTTCGCACTCACAAGTTCGTAACTATATATGCGATGTCTGCCAAAAAGGATTTAAAACCAAAAAGCATCTATATCAACATAAATTAATACATGCTGCAGAAAAGAAATATGCTTGTGCATTTTGTGAAAAACGCTTTTCACAGTCGGCTGGCCTTAAAGGGCATATGAAAACGCATGGTACAAAGCTTTCAGCAACTTAAACAGGGGATAGTCTCATTTTCTGCAATAGAAATATGTTTTATTAACTTAATAACTGTAAAAATATCAAATATTCAAAATAAGAGTAAAATGGGATTTTCGTCTGGAACGCATTTAAGTCATGTAAAATCTTTCAGTGTTTAATTTATTTAAATATTTCTTGTACGGTTAAAATGTTACTCCCATAYAGTTCTTATAATATTAACTTAAAGCATTAAATTTTATTTAACTTAAGCATAAGTTTTGTGAACTTTTTAATATATAAAAATATATTTATATTATATAACAAAATAAAATATCACCTGAATTTATAAAAACAAGAAGCCATGTATAGGTTAAATATTATATTAGCTGAAATATACATATATTATAAACACCCATGCGTGTTTGTTGTTGTAACAATTTTGACGTTGCATGGTCATGTCCGCTGTTTAATAGTTGTTTTAGCGGTTAGTCAATACCCTTTGGGGTTGTAAGGTTCAAGATCGAAATTATCTAACGGTAGGCTCAGCCCAGGTCTTTGGCCGTTTAATAATAGTTATATTCGGTTACATTGGAACTTAAGATTATTCGCTTCCATGATGTAGTTGGCAGTTTTTTTAATATCCTGCCATACCGAGAAATTTAGAAGAACCGCATTTTAGAATTGCATTCACTGGCTCAGGAAAACATGTCAATAATTATTCACAATTGAAAGTGTTTAAGGCGTATTATTAATAGTTGTTAACATTTTTTTGTGGCAAAGAATTAAGTTTTCGTTACTTTCGTGGGTTTTAGTTTCCTCTCGAATATAATTGGGTTATAAGTTAATTTTAAACCCAATTTAAAATCTATAAGAAAAGGCGATAATAAATAGATAAAAATTTAAATATATGTATATTAAAGAAAATTGGGCTCAAAACATTTTTTTATTTATTGTTTGTTGAAGTACTAATATACACATATTTATGATAGACCTTAAAGGTTAAGCATATAAAATTTTGTAAAAACACTTGATATTAGCTGTAGTTGGAAAGGTACTCTCAACCCCTTCTATTATCTTTTTGAAGGTGACTCGAAGGTGGTGTTTTTAGAAATCTCGTCTTTACGTCTTTCCTATGTGTTTGTTTATAAGAAGTTTTCACCGCTTTGAACGCATATATTTCAAAATACATTATATATATTCTTTTATTTCAGGCTAAATCAAAGCCAGCGATTATGAAAATCACGATAACTACGGATGTTACGCTAAAAGATGAACACTACAAACTTTTGGCTGAAGTATATGAGGCGAATAGGTGTCTTTGGGATGAAGAGGATATCGCATATCGGTTTAGGAATAGGCGCGAGGAAGCATTAAAATCTGTACACAAGGAATTCACTGAAAAATCTGGGCTAAACTTGACCTTAGAGGATTTGGAAAGTCAAATTGTGCGGCTGCGTAGATCTTGTTCGATTGAAAAGAGAAAAAAAATTCATTGCAAAAGAGACAAGTTAAAGTTCATACCCAACTGTCCATATTATCAGCAGATAGCCTATCTCGAGGTTGACGTACCACCTTTCGAATGCAAAATATGTGATAAGTTATTATCGGGTTTGGGTCAATACAAGGTGCATGTCGCTTCTCATGATGGTTCACTGCCATTTAAATGCCATCTCTGTGGACATGGATTTCAGTTAGCATCTAATTTAACTGTACACTTACGGAGGCACGTGCATGATTACACGTATAATTGTGAGGTGTGCAATAAGCCCTGCGCCACAACGACCGAATTGAAAATTCATATGCGTTCGCACACAGGTGAAAAGCCCTTCGTTTGTTATATTTGTGGGCAAAAGGCTCGAACATCTTCCCAACTTTTGGTGCATACGCTGCGTCACCAGAATCGACCGCGTCACAAATGTAAACTGTGTCCTAAAACATTTTATGAAACAGGAACATTAAACGAGCACATGAGTATTCATCGGAATATCAGAGACAAAATATGCGAGATATGCGATAAAGGTTTCACTAGCAATAAACAATTACGCCAGCATCAGCTTATCCATAACGTTGAGAAAAAGTATGCCTGCAAATTTTGTGAAAAGCGCTTTGCTCAATATGCTGGCCTCAGTGGGCATATGAAAACGCATGGCACAAAATTATCTGCGAGCGTTCCTGACAATTTTTTATAGGACTAAACATTTATGCGCTTAAAAACTCTACTAAATATGTATAAGTATAAACTAGTATTAGTTTTCAAAAAATTTAAATTGATTATGTATCACAATTCTTTCTACCGTTTTTAATATAATATAATAATTTTCACAATAGTTGGGTCGTAATAGGAACGATTGACAGATTTTAATCCGGCAAAGCGCTGTAGATTCGGTAATGTTCTCAAAAATGATTCGAAGAATGTTTTCTGCCGCTACAACAAGTAGTAAGTTAGTAAAGAGTTTTTTCTGGATATGTAAAGTTTTGCGTTTCACTAAAATAGGTTTGACCAAATATTTAACCTCAGAATCACACGACAACAATATCAATAAGAATTACAACAATATTATATAAGAAAAAATATGTCCTTCGATTTTTTTTAGTGCTCCGTCAGGATCGTGAAGGACCTGTCCGAGCCGTTCGATACCAAACGAGGTTTCTATAAGAGTGAACTAGGGCAAGACGAAATATCTCCTGTCATCAAACAAGCTGTCGTCGCACTCGCGACATGACTCTTTCTTGGCACCAGCATTAGATCCAACAACAACGTCAGCCTCGAGATCCACCGCAGAGTGGCTTATCAATAGGTGCTACTTCGGAATGAGTAGGACGGGAATGATGAGAGGAAGAGAAGACCTTCACTCCGTTGAAGAGATAAAGTGTAGAAGGACCTGGCTGCACTTGATATCTTGAATTGGCGTCAAATTGCTAAAAGAAGAAACAATTGGCGCGTTGTTGTCAACCCGGCTATAACCGCGTAAGCTGTGCAAAGAAGAGAAAAAAAGAAGAGAAATTAGAATCCAAAATGCTGTTAAAATATATTTATTTTACTTCCTCATAAACATACTCGGAGCATTAATCTGTAGCTGCTCTAAAAACTCAGCGGTAACGCTTGTAGATTTCCTTCCTTATTCCGTCGCAGTTGTTGTCTTATTAGTGCTTTATTTAATTTAATAGAGAATTAGCTGTTTTAAAATTTTGTTTATCCATTTTTCAAAAGTAATTTAAGACAGGAATCCGCTATTCGAAGACTACTAATTTGAAAAATAAATCAACATGTACATTTTGTCCGAAAATCCGCTTTTCATTTTGTGCTATACAAAAAAGTTTACATACACACAACTTCCGCAACTATTTATGTTCTGAAAGCTCCGCAAGCTTCCAAATAAAACAAATAAAATGTTCAACGATACTATAAAGATTTAATATTTGGCGTAGCAACGTCCTTCATATCTTCCATAAATTCCATCTGAATAATTATCATCTCGGAAATTATCTTAAGGCTTGTATTTAAATTGGAATAGAACACAAGCACTTGACCGAATTATTAACAAACCGTCATCTAGTGTAAAGATAATTCAAACATTTGGAAATTCTGGAACTTTGCAAGTAAAACCATATTTAAGTTGTTCAAAAAAAAATCAACAGCCAGCGATGAACGTTATTTACTGTGTGTCATACATGCAGAAATGGGTTTTGATGGCTAAATGGGAGTTAATTAAAAAAAAAAAAAGACAGACGCAGTCCGATAATGCTTTGGCTTTTTGGAGTAATTAATATTAATTTACTCAAAAAAAATTTAACACAATATAAAACAACTTTACGTATACTTTTTTCTGATTTTGTTTTTTATCCATCTGTTTTTTACTTTAGAAAATCAGAAAATGGTTCTAAATATACATTTATATGTATAAGATATGATAATCAATTTGTGAGAGAATACATTTGGTCATAGCAGCGTGAACTTAAAAAAAATTTTTTTTTTGCTTTTCCGATAGTTTATATTTCCAAAAATATCAGCAAGGGTTTGTAATGGCAGCGTTCTATAAAGCGGCCGCTCACAGGTATAAACATATATAAGTGAAACTTTAAGCGCTTTTTTCTTGAAACGACATTTTTCAAAATAGCTCACCTCATAGCTCAACGAGAAATTGACCGATCGACTTCAAATTAAAACTGAGTAGTGTTGAATAAATATACTATACAATGATCTACGATCTTTTTGATTGGTTCAAAATTGTCAATTTGGCATTGAAAAACCCACAATTTTTTACTTAAAATAATAGAAATTTTTCAGAACTACAGAGCTTTTAATTTTTGATATTTTCCAGAAATAGTAGCTCATTGTATAAGAAATATCTTCAACTTTAATAACTTTTTGAATTTGTTTGTACTCCGAAGACTGCACATAACTCCGTTGTTTTTCAACATTTTTGAAAATAAAATATCTTAAAATATAGCTAAAAATATACCTTATTATGTCCAAAGAACTTCGAAACATTCAACCAAATAAGTTTTAAAAAAAAATTCACAAAAATCGTATAATTTTTCATGGGTTATAACTGGTATAGCCCCTTAAAGGGGTATTCTACTCTAGAATTGTGAAAAATTAAATTTTTTTCATATATTTAAAGTTTAGACCCTTAAGAACATATCCTCCAAAGGACTTTTAAAAATTAAAATTATTTTAAGAGCTACGGTTACTTTAGTGACGTAGTCCTAGCCCGGTAGTTGGGTAGCTTCACTTTCTTAAACGCGTTTTTCTCGAAACTACTTTTTTCCACACGGTACCGGCATTATCTCAAGTTCTATACAACCGATTTACTTGAAATTTTGTGTGAACCTTCTTGATATAATCCCCTATCTTTATATAATCCTTTATCTTTACATAATCCTTAATCCTTTGTTTTTAATATTTAAAAAAAAAATTCAGGAATTTCCAAAGAAAAGTGCTAAAAATGATATTTATTTTCAGGCAGTCGGCATTTTTCAAAAAAAAAATTTTTTCGTGTTCCCTGAAATAGGGACTATAACAGCATCCTTACTGATTAAGAATTTCTTTTGAATTTTTTTTTTCAGACCACCAGGAGAGTTAGGATCAATGGCACCAGGATGCGCCACTTTTTTTACACCTGTCTCTCCCCCCCTCTAATTATTTTAATTTTTAATATTTTTTTGTAACATTTTTTTTCTGTAGTCAATAAAAAAACCATAAAAAAATGGATTGTAAAAAAATTTTTTTTTTAATAAAATTAAAAAAACTGCCCAAAATTTGAGTCTAGAGTAGAATACCCCCTTAAGTTTCTTCACCAAATCACCGTGTACGTAAATTTTTTTCTATATGTAGGTATATATTAGTATAAGAAAAAATGCATTAATAAGTTTTTTTTTGGAAACATAATGCTAACCAATGGACTTAAATTTATAAAAAAAAAAAAAATATAAAAAAAACGAATACTCTCATTTGGCAAAATGTTGTAATTGTAAAAGGTCATAAGCTTTGAAACAATATTTTTATTTTATGTCTGAATTAAGCTTATAGAAAAAGTTTGCTCCTTAGTACCGATTACATACTTTATGCACATTATGAAAATAAATTAATAACCTTTACAATTATACATCATTGATTCCGTATGTATCTTGACTCTTCGTACTGCCTGAATTTTCACCAAAGAAAACTTCTGCAAATTCATTTAATTCTTCAGGTGTTTTTTTCGCGGATAACTTTGTGCCATGAGACTTCATATGCCCACTTAGACCAGCGTACTGGGCAAAACGTTTTCCACAAATTTTGCATACATATTTTTTGAAGGCATCATGTATACGTTTGTGTTGTTTTAACTGCATGGGGCTTTTGAATCCTTTGTTGCATATATCGCATATTTGGTCTCTTGTAGCTCGGTGAACGCTCATGTGCTCCCTATATAGTCCTTTGGTGTAGAAACCTTTTCCGCATACTTCACATCTATGGCGTGGTCGATTTTCATGACGCCGCATATGTGTATTAAATTTTGATGCTGTTTGGAATTTATTTCCACATATGTCACAAACATAGGGTTTTTCTCCTGTATGAAAACGCATATGAACCTTTAACTCTGTTGTGGTTGCACAGGGCTTATTACAAATTTTACAACTATAAGTGTAGTCATGCACATGCCTTCGTAAATGTACAGTTAAATTTGTTGCTAATTTAAATCCATGTCCGCAAATATGGCATTTAAATGGAAGCGAACCATCATGAGATGCTAAATGTACTTTATACAGACCAGAACCAGAAACTACTTTTTCACATATTGTACATTCATATGGATTTACATCAACTTCCAGGAATGTAATGTGTTCGTAATATGGACATGCAGGCTTATACTCGATATTTTTTTGTTTGCACAATATTTTTTCTTTCTTTTCAATGGAGCAAGCTTTTCGTAACCGTAGGATTTCTCTTTCCAATTCCTGTTTCTCTAAATTTAAACCGGTTTCACTCTTAAATTCTTCATAAACAGATTTTGAGGCTTCCCGACGTCGGTTACTGAATCTATACGCTATATCATTTTCATCCCAAAGGCTTGGATATCTCTGGTATATTTTAGCAAGCGTAATAAATTGGTCGTCATTCAAAAGGCTTTCTGGAGGTGGGGGTTTCTTTATGAATTGTTTACAATTATACTGGAAATAATTTAAAAAAATAATTAGACGAAGGTTATTTACAATAACATATGACAATTAAAAAGCAGTACAATTAATATCATTGACTTTGTCTTTGATTGCGAACGAAGCGAATTTCTTTATTTTATATTACTTATTATGCTTTTACGTATTACAGCCCTAATCTGAGAAAACCTCACAACTGGTTTGTGAATAACGTCACAATTCTTGCTCAAATCGCACAAGAAAAAAGCATATGAGGTGAAAAACACTTTACTGCGAACCAGCTATTTTACTAAAAGAAGTGAGACAATTTAAAAAAATTAACAACCTAGAAAAACGAATTATTCGGCAAATCTGTTAAATTTGGTGCTTATATGCAAAATGTAGGAAGTTATGAGCATTTACGCTTTTGAAATCACCTCAACATACGAAAACCTCACAAATAACAAAAACCTCACCTATCTCAGAGCACTAGAATAGGGCTATCTAATTTCATATCTTACCTCTGATCTTTCCAAATTTCTTCTTTCGATATACTCATCACGCTTATCGTTGTCCAACAAAAATGCCATTGCATCAAAATAGTAAAGATTTGACTTTTCAAATGCCGATATCCGTTTGGATTCTCGTCGAAATGTTGTACGCAATCTAAAAATCTTTTGCCTGACGTCATCTTTTGTAGCATTTGGATACTTTTCTTTATATTTTTCAAGTAAGATATCATATTGTTGGTTGCGTACCAATCTATCGGTATAAGAGTCGCACTTCGAATCCCACAGTGCCCTGCATGAATGATATACTTCTATAAGATCTATAATAAATCTTCGTTTTGCGTCACAGTTGGTAGATTTTGTTTTTGGACTGTTTTCAGGCGGCTTAGAATCGCTTTCTTCTAAATTGAAAGATTCTTCATAGTCAAAATCGCTGCTAGATTTGTAATCATGCTCTTCCAATTCTTGGCTTTCATTAATTTCAAAGTTGTCCTAAAATAAAGAATATACAAATTAATTTGTTTCCGGAAAATTTAAATGAGGCTTACGTTTTCCGTACTGTCTTCGTTAACGAAATCTTTTGGAGTTAATTCCTCTTTAATGACAACAGAACGCTTAATGTCACTTGTATCCAGTTCAATTTCGACTCTTTCAAAGTCTCTCATATTATAATCATCATCATCCTCCTCCTGTAAAACATACGTTTTTGTCTTATTTTAATTTATTTTAATTCGCTGATATTAGTTACCTCTAAATTTTTTACCGAATTTAGACATTCTTCCAAGTCTTCTATTTCTTCATCATATTGATCAATTTCATTTTCCACTTCCTCTACCTTTGCTTGATTTATTTCGACTAAGTGGTCTTCGCACATGTGTTGCATAAAATTCTCCAATTGCAAAAACGAATAATCACAAAATTCGCAGTTCAAGAAAAATTCTTTCTTTCCCACTGACAGCATTGTTGTAATTTCTCCACATTTCTTTAATTTACTACATTCTATTATTTGTTTTTCAAAACCCAAAGCCATCTTGTGCTTTTCATCAAAACTTTAATTCCAAGAACACCAAATAATTCTTATTCTACTGGTTTAAAATGAAAACACGTACAATAACATCCAAACCAAAACTCTTCTCGGGATAAGAACAATAAATCGAATATCCACTGCTATCGATAGTACTTAAGGCGAACACGTAGTAACGCATTTAAATATACGCTTCTTTTGCTAGAAATAAAATTTCGTATTGACGCGGTTCAAACGGAGACTCTTTTGTCACTCATTATCGGCAAATTTTTATTTGGTGTAGTTCACTGCGTTTACACGCCCGACGACTTATCATATTCTCAAGTTCTTGTATGCTTAATGTGGGCGATGAACCAAAATATGTATTTTGTAGTGCTTAATTTTTGCCCTTATTCACACTTTTCTAATATACTTCTATTATATAAAGTATATTTGTATATAATATACATATTTTTGAACTATATAATGTAAAGAAATGTGTACAAACGAATTAGTGAACATAAAAATGAAAAATATAAGTGTCACGTTCATTTCAGATCGAAAAATACGTAATTCAAATAGTGGTAATTTTCAACCTTAAGCGCAAATAGCGAGATATATATTATTGATCTGAAGCATCTGTGCAAGTATATTAACAAAATCAAATTTTAATATTTTTAGATGGCAAAAAATAATCAACGCATAGTTTGCTAGCTTTTTTCGCGTTACAATCAAGTATTTATTTTAAGTGCACTTTTTTCTTTTAAGTAATTTATRACAAACGAATTTTTCGTTAAATTTATATAGATTTTCCAAAAATAAAATTGAAATTAATAATTTTTCCTTATTCCTTCTTATTTCATTTGCTTTTTTAATGAATAAATAAATTTCACACAGACAGCTGATTGTCTAAATGCGCAATTCTGCCATCTGTCACCATACAATTTTAATGCGCATTAATTTTTCTCGTCTGTCGAAGCTAAAATTCATAATATATTTTTATTTTTATTAGTAATACTGCTTTTTTACTATTTTATAGAAAATTTAATATTTGTTATCGACATATTTACTTTCATTCAAGTATTAAAAAAAACATCTCTGAGTAATGAAATGTAATAGATTTTGTGACTGTCACTTACAGAATAGCAAAATCGTCTCAAGTTTTTCTCTAAAAATCGCCATACACGACACACATGTGCGTTCGATCGGTATGTGGGCGATTCCGGTTTGTGCGCATACTGATCCATGTTCGCGAAAATGTTTGATTTTTTTCGGTGTAGACACATGTATATCGTGTATGGCGCTGTGTGCACACAAAATCTCATTTCTCTCCTGTCGCCGATTAGGAAAGATCGTGGACGAATAATTTTCCACTTGCTTGTCGCACATGTTCACTGTGGGAAGAACGAACTCAAAATGGATTTGTATGTCGTGTATAGCGAAACAAGTTCATACAAATCGAACACACATGTGTGTAGTGTATGGCCCCTTTAACTGAAAATCTCAAATTTAGAGACTTGTGACTGTATCACAGTACAGAATCGCACGGTTAGTTAAGTTAACCAGAACGTAATTGACAGATGACTGCTAACCAGTGCCATGCTGCCACCAACTATCCATACTGCCAATTGAATAGCAAATGTATTCAAACATATCCCTAAAGAAAGTGAAAACACCAAGTGTGGCTAAATAATAAAGATGATTTAAAAACCTAAAAAGCATGCTTTTAAAGCACATTAAACCATATTTTTTGTATAACCAGTTTATCAATATTACTGTCAGATTACATTAAATATTATTTTTAATTTTTTAGTTGAAGCTAAGAAAGGATGTGTGAAAATTTTCAGTTCGAAATCTCAAAAACTGAAAGACTATTCCGGGTAAGTACCGGCATGCCATGAAAATAATAAGCGTCTTACTTTCAAAGAGAGGGATATTATTAAAGTTATTATTCAAAAGGACGCGAAAACAAAATTATTGAAGAAATTTAGATGAGTGAAAAGGAAAAATCCGTAATAAAGAAAGTGATTTGAGGTGTAAATATTTTTAAAAACTAAAAAGATCAAAACAATCAATTCTGCAGTCCTTCACAGCCTATTTTGTCCAAAAAAAAAAAAAAAAATTTAACTAATTTTAATCAACTGGCCAACTTCAAATGAAGATTTTACAGATAATTAACAGCTGAAAACTTCTAAACGAAAATTTAAAAACAATTCAATTCAGTTACTGCTTAAGAAAAGGTGAATAATTATTAATGGACAATATTGTTAATTTATATTACGATGACGAAAATATTGGGGCTCATCAGAAATAGCCTTTGCTTTCACTGAAATCCATTTGAACTTTCTAAAATCCTGTAAACCAAAGTTTTACTGACAATTAAATGGCTTTTAAATAAACTCTCTGTTTCCTTGCTGTTGGTACCCTGCAGTACTGGAAGTGGCGATATGTCGGACAGCCCAGATAGGCAAATTAAGCGACTGGAGTTGTTTTAACACCGGAAAGTTAAGAAAAATTATTTAAATTATTTGAAACAAATTAAGTACGCCAACTCTTTTTTACACGGTTTCTTTTTACACGGGTTTGAAGTAACACGGTTGAGAATTTTTATTTTTAATTTTTTGTAAAAAAAAGTTTTTAATTTACTACCGTTTCAAAATCATTGTCTTAATATAATTGTGTTTGTTTTTACCACACTTATATCCCTGACAGACGACAGCGCTAATATGCATTGGCGGGCTTAAAGTGAGCATACACGACACACAAGTGGGTTCGATCGGTATGTGTGCGCATGCGGTTTACTCGTGTATGTTCTTGTACGCCTACCGATCCATGTTCGCGAAAATGTTTGATTTTTTACGTTCGGTGCGTACACAAATGTGTCGTGTATGGCGTTGTGTGCACAAAATCTCATTTCTCTCGTGTTGCCGAACAGTGAAGATCGCGGACGAGCAATAGCAAGTGTAAATAAAGATTTTGTATCAGAATTTATTGATCTTTTAAAAAATGAAGTCGCAATTTGGCGAAGGAAAAGTGATAAATATAAAAACAAAAGTGGGAAAAGTAAAAGTTGGAATAACTTATTAACAAAATATAAAGAAATTGATAAAAGTGCTACATTAGAAACCGTGAATAAAAAGTATAGCGGTTTAAGATCTTGTTATAGGCGCGAATTGCAAAAGGTTCGGAGAAGCGAGAAATCGGGAGCAAGTGCAGAAAATATTTATGTACCAACATTGTGGTACTTTGAAAGCTTGAATTTTCTTAAGGACCAAGAAATTCAAATGGAAGGTATTTCGTCGTTTGAGGATTGCGACGATGAAGAAAGAGTAAGTAAAAAGAAAATATATGGTACATTATTAAGTTTTATTTTGACATTTTATAGAAATTTATTTTGCCACTCAACGGCTCCAAYTGTATTAAAATAGTCACAAAATTTGTTACGAATAATTGCTGCATTTTGTGATATATTTCCATATCTTTTAACAAATGTACATGAGAGCGATTAATCCGTTTACTTAACCAATCCGCTATCCAAATCCTTTTCTTTTTGCATTTTTCTTTTGTTAATTTTTTTTTTATACACATATAAATTCCAAGAAGTGAAACAAAATTTTCCGCTTGCCTGCCGCAGATGTTAACTGTGTGAAGAACAAACGCAAATGGATTTGTGTGTCGTGTATGGGCTAAATGAATTCACACAGATCGATCGCACACGTGTGTCGTGTATTAATGTTAATGCTACTTTGTAATGCACAGGAATTTCGTGCATTTAGCTGAATTTACCAAATTTGAGTGGGCAACACTGCTCAAAAATGGCAGATTTTTGCTATTTTTTGACAGATGTCGCTGAAAGTTTCCCGCGTCCTTTGTGTTTACAGCACCGGAATCAGCAGTTTTATATTGCTAATTAAATTATGTGCAACTATATATATTAGCAAAAACCAATTGGAATATTTTTGGATGACAGAAAATAAACAACGCACAGTTTGCTATCCATTTTTCCAATATTCTTAACTTTTTCGCACACTTTTTTCGCATTACTCGCATATTCATTTTTATTATTATTATTATTTTTTTTTTTAATGAATAAACAAATTTCACCATCAGCTGTCTAAATGCATAAGTCTGCCATCTGTCACCATAAAATTTCAATGCGCATTAGCGTTGCTTAAGGCGCATTAATTCTGCTCGTCTGTTAGGACTATTAGCACCATTGCTGAAATGAACATATATAGTAGTAGCTGGTAAATCCCCTTATTACATAACTCTTACCTACACATTTTGTTCACATGATATTTACACTGCTGAAATGGATGTCTCCAACGATGATACCGACTTTAGTTCGTCGCAAACAATTGCACTTGTTATCAAATAGCGACGAATGATTATGTAGCTATGTAAATATTTTTGCTTATTTCTATTCCAATTTTTCTGTTCTTAATTCTGGATTAAAAGATTTATTTTGTTTTTGCTTAATCTACCAATCTGTATGAATTATGTATTTTAAGTTTTAATGCTCAATCCAATGCAATATGAACATACAATTTGTATGCATATCTGAAATTTTATAGTTTTAAGATTTTCAGTTTGTTATAGTTCTTTATTTCATCTTACACGGTTTTCAGATGACATGGAACTTATCCCCAATTTTACTACAGGAAACGCCTCTTTTTTTACACGGATTTCTGAGGAACGTACCTACCGTGTAAGAAAAACCAGCTACACGTGTGGTGATCAATTGCCTTAAGATGGTTCTCCAACTTACCGAACAAGTTCGTTAGCCAAGAGGTGACTGTGTTATATGCAGCGTTTGAAAAAATACGCTACTTCCGTAGCATTTCATTTTGCTATCGCTACCGCTCTCACTTTATCGGGAGCTACAGCAGAGCCATAGCATAACATGTAAAAGTGTGTGCTCTGCTATGCTCCGAGTTTTGTTAGGTAAAAAACTATAGCTGAAGCGAGAGCAAAAAATGAAGTACAGTGCTCTGCTCTGGCGTAGCGGTAGCAAAATTTGGGTTCGGTAGGAGAGCAGAGCTAATGAAAATTTTCATTTGCTACTGCTCCGAATGTGTTTTTTTTTTTTTTTTCTTTTTTGGTAATTTCCTTCATAATATTTGAATTAATTGAATTGAATTAGATAATAATTGAATAAATTA